TTATGTGGTGTTGGGGTCTTTAGGGTGATCCCCAAGTGAACCAAGAGGTAACTTTCATTGCAAATATAGTCTAAAACCCTAACTCCACCATTTATGTGGTGTTGGGGTCTCTAGGGTGATCCCCAAGTGAACCAAGAGGTAACTTTCATTGCAAATATAGTCTAAAATCCTAACTCCACCATTTATGTGGTGTTGGGGACTTTAGGGTGATCCCCAAGTGAACCAAGAGGCGACTTTAGGTAGATATCTAGCTGATTTAGTACAATAATTGTAAGGAAAAGCATATAAAGGGACTATCTATTTTTTTGTACAAGGAGGTTAGAATCACTCATGTCTGTCAGATTCAAATTTGATAGTTGTCAGAGTTTCATTGACTAAATTTGAAGTTCAATTTTTTTTTTTGAATTTTATGACGCATGTAGTGTTGCTAAAGTCAAACTGCCTATTTTTTTGTACAAGGAGGTTAGAATCACTCATGTCTGTCAGATTCAAATTTGATAGTTGTCAGAGTTTCATTGACTAAATTTGAAGTTCAATTTTTTTTTTTGAATTTTATGACGCATGTAGTGTTGCTAAAGTCAAACTGCTAACCACTTGAGCCTAAGCTCGATTGACAGGCTAAAAGGAAAAAGATTGGTAGTGGAACCTAGTAGAGAGATGGAGAGAAAACACGGATTAGGCTGTGCTAGAATTAAGGTAGTAATTTGTGGGTCAAAGGGTAAAAAAAGTAAATGAAATAAGTTAATAAACACCTTGAGAACAAGAGATATTCTTGTTTTGATGGACTTAATAAATATTTTTTCAAAACAATATTTGCCTCTATTGATAAACGTTAAGCATCTTTAAGTAAATTTGTACTCCGGTAACAACACAATAAAAGATCAAGTACTTATTTTGCATATTCAAATACGAGAATATGAAAAAGCGAACAAAAGAGACATAAATATGAAAAAAAAAATGTGCATGAAATTGAGAGATTCAATCCACAATATAAAAGAAAAATATACAATGAGACCATTCACCTTTGGTATAAGTTGGCTATAATTATTGACCATTACGTGTAAAATTGGGCAGTTGCATTTGACAAAGCTCAAAGATCAAAATAAATTTTTTTGAATTTTGTAACGCACCGAAGCTGTCAAATTATACATCATGTGATTATAAATAATTGTGACCTCCTTATAGCAAAAGTAAATGGCAACATTGTCTATAATCTCATATATAAAATGCCTTTCAAGTTCACCTAATGTCATCATTCAATGTATCCGAAAAGTGAACAGTTGCAACTCTCTCTTGATAAATAGTCTTAAAAAGACTTAATCAGTTAAAAACTCATATGCAACTGGATACCCAACAGTTACAGTTGTTCACATTAACTATTAAACTCTGATGGCTCACTTCTGTCACACAAGCTGCACCAAGCAAGTGTTTGGTAGTAGTCACAAAACAACCTTCACCAAGCTCTGTGTTCGACTTACAATCATCAATCATTGTGCATCAGTACAGTCGGCTTCGGTCTGCCCAACTTGCACTCCGGTGAACTACTTCGGTCATGCAACTGCAATACTGAGTCTTAGACAATGTTTGAACGGCCCTAGCGCACCACTTCTTAATTAGTGTGGCTAACTGCATATTTGAATTGCACCGTTGCGACTCGCATTACTGAGTCTTTCAACAATGTTTGAACAGCCCTAGCGCACCACGTCCTTATTGGTGTGACTGACCGCAAACTTGACCAGCACCTATGGTGCGTCAAGGGTGCTTATAAGAGTATGTAAAGTGCAAAACGCACCTCAAGTACTTTTTACACCTGTGCACTTGCCCATGCACTCAGTATGCTCTGAATAGACCTTCTCTCCCTTGATTCCATGAACACAAATGAAGAGAATATGCTACTACGATTAGATCCTCATCAATATGGGGCTAAAACCCACTACTTGTCCCAGAATAACCTTTCATAGCGGCTATGTTTTTGAAATATATTATTTGAAACAACATTTTACATTCCAAAAATACAATAATTTGTTTGCACATGAAGCCTAAGTTGCTCTACATTATATTTCTCATATATAATTGGGAGAAATATGATGGCTATGGAGCATGAGTGGACACTGGAGAGCCAGTTGCCATGGTAACTGCCCCTTACCATGGTGTTAATTGAAATTAAGGTTGAACACAAATAGAAGCACGCCAGATAAAGATAAAAAGAAAAATCCCTATATAAGATTGGAATTTTAGAAAAGGACTCATTTTTTGTATTTTACGTTGAGGTTTCACTTTTTCATTTTTCCCAAACTACAAGGAGTTTAGATACCCAATATCCGAATTGAAAGTGGTTTTTTCTCGAGTAGGAGATGGGTTTAGACATTAGAGTTTCAATCCAATTTTTTGTAAGTGGACTAGTTTGGATATCCAATGTCTAAGCTTAGCTCCTTTATTAAAATGCCGATAAGAAATAAACTATTTAGCATTCTACCCATTTGCAATATTCTAACACAAGATCATGTGTTCTTCTATGGGTATTTTGAAATTGAATCAAAAGATATAGGCAGGGTGTTAAATTGTTCATTTCTCATAAATAATTTGATGAACTTTTCAAAAAAATATAAGTGAACAGGTTTAAGTATTGGGTGTATGAACCTACCCCATTTACAAAAAAAAGAAAGAAGAGATGTACTCGGATACTAAACGTGCCAACCCATATTTTTACAAAAGAGAGATCTCCAGCGGGAGCACATTGCACACTTCATCCCTCTAACTAGATCTTTTATTCTACGAGTAAGAGTAGATTATGCTCCCATATGAAAACACTATAGTTGGACTCTCAAAAAATGATGATGTTGACTGTCTGAACCCATTTGGTTTTTAGAAGAGAGCCGGCACCCATAGGAGCACATTGTTCACTTATTCCCTCAAATAAGTGTCCAATGGGCTCTCGAATATCCTTTTTGTTATTTACATAAAAAGGGAAAAGTTTATATAAGGTTGCAACCTTAAAATGTAGAATCACATATGCACCTCAAAAATCTATTAGAAATGTTGTTTTAATGTTGAATAAACCCTCTAATCGATCATCTACTAATCGATCATTATGCACCTCAAAAATCTATTAGAAATGTTGTTTTAATGTTGAATAAACCCTCTAATTGATCATCTTGACATTGAGATGTATGAATATGGTTTTCAGGTTCCAAAAATAGTGCATCTTGCAACACATTATCTAGACTGTCCATTTTCAATATTTTCATATATTTATAGATCTACTTGATTTTAACTATTTTTAAAATTTAAAATTTTCTAATTAGGTATGAAAATAGATTTTAAGATAATAGTAAGAATTTTCTATAATAAAATTACATGTTATGATAAAATTTTAAAGTGCGCCCTAAGTAATTAGATTGTTTAAGGTTGCATCCTAATAGAAACCGCACCCTTACAAAAATGATGTATTGGGACACCAAATGTGCCAACCCATATTTTACAAAAGAGGGATATTAGTGAGCTCCCGTGAAAGATTGTACACTTAATTCCTCCAAATAGGGATTTCATACTAGAGAGTAAGAGTAAGAGTAAAATATGCTCCCATATGAATACAATACGGTCTTGCTCTCCGAACCCATTTGGTTTCTAGGAAAGAGACTGCTCTTGTGGGAGCACATTGCTCGCTTACTCCCTCAAATAAAAGGCCGATTCAAAAGGACTGAAGTGTCTAATGTGCTCTCTTGGGAACTCATTGTAGTTCTTATTTAATGAGAATATGTACTCTGATATTAGGTGTCCAGACATCCGTCCGTTTCTGCCCTACAAACCCCATCCACTTATATTTTTTTAAGTGGATGGGGTTCGGATACTAGATCTCCCACCCAGCTCACTCACAAAGGGTTGGGTTTAAACTTCCACGGTCTAAACCCGTTTTCCATTTAAAAAAAAAAATGGTTTTGGATATTAAACATAACATAGAGAAAAAACTTACAAAAACTTCAACGTAAAATATAATTTAGCTTATTTTTTTTTCTAAATTTCCTTATGGTATAACGTTTTTTTTAGGAGAGAGAGTATAAGATTTTTTTTTTTTTGTAAAATATTTACTTTTGGTAAAAGGGTTAAAATTACTCACGATTGGATATGAAATCTGACAAATTAAACTATCACAATCTTTGAAAACTTTTATTTTAGACTTAGTGAGCAAATACCCAACCACTTGATTTCACATCTACCCGTTAATTTTGATATACCAAAAACTAATGCCCAAGAGTGAGGTAACTAATAGCACTAATATGCCACTGGTAAACAACATTTCCTGAAAAAACACCCAAGAGGCAGGTAATTAGGATCATCAGGGATTTAGGTTTAAGAAGAAGAAGAAGAAGAAGAAGAAGAAGAAGAAGAAAGAATTAGGGTTTAGGAAGATAGGGATGGAAGTGGACGTTTAAGGAGATAAGAGAGAAAAGCAAATGGAGTTGGAAATGGATATAAGTTGGGATGAATGTGTGTTGTCCTGCCACACATCATATCAAGACAAAACCATGATTATCCACCACCCAACCTCTCACATGCTCTCCTCTGTCTTCTTCTCTCTCTCCACCCCACCTCCCTTCAATAATGCCTTTTGCCCCTTAGGATCCCCCCTCTCTCTTTCCTTCAATGTATTGTATTGTATTGTATTGTATTGTATCGTATTGCCTTTTTCAACGCCGGTCCGGGCTGGTTCGGACCAATCTCTTATATTTGGCATTTTTTTAGGCCGGTCAGGTCAGGTCGAAAATAAGTGAAAAAAATAAAATAATAATAATAATAATAATAAGATGGGCCTGGCCCTAACCCAGTTCTCGGGACACATTTTATAGCCTAGACCCTATATTTGTTAGGGCTAAGACAAGCTGCCGGCCTGGCCCGGCCCGCCGGCCCATTGCCAGGCCTACCCTTTTTCTCTCTTGAACTCTCTCTATATTCTCTCTCTTGCACCTCCTATGAACACTACTGGTCAATAGAAACTCCTGTTTTGACCCAACATCTCAATTCATTAGATTTTGGTTGTCCTCCTCATTTTCAGCCTCCAATAGATGCTGTTGCCCTTAGGATCCCCTCTCTCTCTCTCTCTTCACTACTTTCTCTCCCTTCCACCTCCCACATCTACCACCTAGAACTCACCATCACAGAAACCACAGTTCAATGGAAACACCCACTCTGACCCAACATCTTTTTTCCCATTCTTAGTCCCATCTCTCTCACCCAACATCTTTTTTTTTCCATTCTTTCTCTCTCTAAAATTTAGTCACCCATCCCTTTCTCCTCTTTCCAACTCTCCCCAATAATTGTTTATTCTCTCTCTCTCTCTCACTGAGCCTACTGGGTTTAGGCTGGCAAGGTTGTCTTCCCCCTTCTCAAAAACCCCCCTCCTTTTTCGATCCCTCTGCTCCATTCAGCTCCCACACCTCCTCCATCTTTTGCTTGGTTCTTTGCACAGTCCCATAAGGTATAAAAATGGGTTCTTTCTCTCTCTACCCCTCTTCCATTCTCTCTCTTGTCTTCCTCCTGCTAACCCATGTTCCTTTCTCTGATCAAAAAACCCAAACCATATATGATGTTCTAAGATCAAATGGCTTGCCCATTGGTCTACTCCCCAAAACTGTGAGCAATTACAGTATAGACAAAGATGGTAACTTTGAGGTCCATTTAGAGCAAGCTTGCTATGCTAAGTTTGAGAACCAGGTTCACTATAAGCAGAACATTACGGGGACTCTGAGTTATGGCCAGATCGGTGCCCTTTCTGGTGTCCTTGCTCAAGAACTGTTCCTTTGGTTCCCTGTAAAATGCATCAGAGTTGATGTACCAAGCTCTGGTTTGATTTACTTTGATGTGGGGGTGATTTATAAGCAGTTTTCTCTCGCTTTATTTGAGACCCCACCTGATTGCACGGCGATGGCCAATGGTGACCAGCCTGATCTTCATGAGGGGGGCTCCATGGCTGATGCTCTTTCAGAGGTACTTGTTTGTCTCTCTTATTTTTTGAAAAATGGTTTTATCTCTCTCTATGATTGGGTTTGGTGCAAATGGATCTGGTGCTAGAGAGTTGTTTGTGTCTTTTCGATGACTTGGGGTCTATGAATATGGAGGCTTTTCGTTGAACTTCTTATTGATTTCTTCTGATATTTTGTTTTTTGATGTAATTTGATTTGAAGGGTTGATGTTGTGGAATTTGGTATAGGTTTCATCAAGAAACATGTTCCCTGTATTCTTTGTTCCCTAATAGACTAGAACCCAAATTAGATCTTTCATTCAGGCATAATTTTTACCCCATTTATTGACTATTTCTATGTATCCTGATCGAACATCCTGTGTAGTTTCTCATGATCAGTTTGCAAAGATTATTCGTTGTCATTACATAAGAGCAACGCATTTAGTGAATCATGTTAGCAATTTGGATGCAACTTTTGCATTGATGTTCATCTACTTGTATAAGCTCAGCAATGGTTGAACATTTCTTGATTTTCATGGTCATGCTATTTTTAATAACACTTTTGAATTTTGGGATCGTGTGTAAAACTTAAATCCGTATCTCCTTCGTAAGTGTTCATAATTTGCATATGACTAAATGGAGGTAGCTCATTTCATCTGACAAATCCTAACTCATTGCAGAGTCAATTGGGGAAGTCTCATTATGAAGCCGATCAAGACATTCTAAAGGCTAGTCAATGAACCATGAAAGGAGTCGATATAATTGAGGATGTCGGTTCTGTTCTTCCCAAGTTGAACAATATCGAGAGAGTCTGGTTTTGCAGGTTCTAAGATTCCATGGTGTGTTTGCAGTAGAATTCAGACTAGTTTTGCTTTCAGTGTCTGTGTAAGAAGAATTTTGAAGGGTGATAGGGAAGATCACCGGTTTTTACAAGCTGAGAGTGAGAAGAGGGTGGAAACTGGAGGATGAGTGGTGCTTTGGTTGAGAAGCATTAGTTTGTGAATGTGATAAGCTAGAAGTTGCAGGTTTTGATCTCTATAGTGCTATATAGGAACCAACATTTGGTTGCCACTTGTTGATCTGCGTTGTGCTATAGTGATACTACATATCAAGGTTGAGTCTATGTAAATGCGGGAAACATTTCAGTCTGTATGTATCTTGGCAATTCTTAGTTTGAGGTAAGAGGAGAAAACCTTCTATGGGTAAAACGATTATAGCTCTCTCAACCTCTGTTGGCCTTAAGGGTTGTGGTTTATTTTTTGTTTTTTTTATCTCTATGCTGAGTGTATTCTTCCGAGATTGTTGTTTGTTATTCAGTAAAAGAAGCACTCTTGGGTAGTGCATGCTGGTAAGAAGTTAGGACTGAAAGGTGAAAGTCGCTTAGATGCTCATATTAACTGTTCCACCCTCTTTTACTTTTGCATAGGAATGAGGCTGTTTCATTGTCGTTCTTGATTAATGTAATTGGTCAGAATTCCATTGCGTTTTGCTTAAGAAACATTTAATAACATTATTTTTGGATCATATCCTTCTCAAAATTTTTTTTGGGACAATCGATTTCAGAGGCTTCATAAAGACAGTTTTAAATAGTGACTCCAAAAGTGCTGTTCTTGATCAAGTGATACCCGGACAACCAGTTTGGTTTTCCTAAATGTGTTTCACGTGTCTGCATGAAACCTCGAACACTTCAACTTCTTGTATCGAGTCCTAGATATGCTGTGTCCAAATTGGTAGCTTCTTGTCAAGTGTCATCACTCTATGTGGACAGTAGACAGGTAATACCCATATCCTCATCCATGTAAATCTGGCCGGCCTTGAGGATTCTAGATGCAAAATATGGCCACAAGTAACTGAAGTTTACTAAAATTCATCTTGGGTGGAACACTGGATTATCAAGCTTTGGTACTCATGAGATTTAGATTACCATGTATATGGACAAGCATCTATTGTTTTGAAATCATTCTCTTGTTCAGTTAAAGCTGGACATTGGCTCACAGAATCACATTGTATGGACTCTAGAAAGAACTGAACCTCTATTGGCTTCTTAGAGAAATGAATGTAGTGCTTAGATGATGGTTTCGAGATGGAAAGATTGGTTGTTTTTGGAATGCTCCATGAGACTCTTTTTTTTTTTAAAATGGCAACTGTTCTATTCTATTAAGAGAGAGAGAACCCCATGACACTTCTTAGGAAACTATTGTAGTGGTATCTGATGAAAGGAGAGCGATATCATGGGCATTGGATTAGCTTACCAATAGCTCAAATATATAATGAAATGATCAAATGGCATTGAATTGTTTTCTTGGAAGTAAAGAATTCGTGTTGTTTAAATGCCAGTCAGAATTGATTTATATGTTTTTAGGCATCTCATGTATGATGCAAATCTGTCAGGCTGTCCATGTATGCATATGTGTGCATACGCATGCTTGCAGGGACCATTATTTCCACCCATCTTTTCAAACTCAAGTTCATAAAAAAATTTTAATCTTACATAAGGTTGTAACTTTCTAAAGTTTTTGTGAAACATTATCTGTATGCTTATATTCTGTCATTCAGCTTCCCATGCAACTAAAATTGCTCTATGAAACTAAAATTGCTCTATGAAGCTAACTTTTTTTATCTTACATAAGGTTGTAACTTTCTAAAGTTTTTGTGACACATTATCTGTATTCTTATATTCTGCCATTCAGCTTCCTATGCAACTAAAATTGCTCTATGAAGCTAATTTTTGTTACCTGCCTGCTTTTCCTTGTTGTTGTTGTTGCTCTCTATGATAGCCTATTTAACATGAAATATGCATCACACTTAGTTGGAATTCTAATCCAACTAATTTGTTAAAAAGGTTGACCATACTCATTATTTCTACTTAAAAAAAAAAACAAAAGAACTTAACCAACTCATTATCTGTTTAAAAATTTGTGCCAGTCTGAGATTCATAGCATGGCCTAGAGTTGTTTGTTGTCATATGTGTATATGTGTTTATGAAACTCAAAACTGATGCACATTCTACATAGTGGTGGCTTATACAGTCATCAATCAGATTGAGGTAGGGTTAAGTTTGTCTCAGAGTAGGGTTAAGTTAATCCTCACTTGAGAAAAAAGACAAACCTCACTCTGGGATGAAGTAGCGTTAAGTTTGTCTCAGAGTGAGGTTCAGCTGAGTTATGAGTTAAAATGTTCTTTTCCTTTCTTTTTTTCCCCTTTGTAATCAGAGACTAGGCATGCAGTGTTGAATTGGTTGCGCAGACATAACACTGAATCATGTCTCCATAATAATACTTTACCACAATGAATTCTCTTTCTACATCTGTAGTTTGTGCCTCAGGAAGATTGGTACCTATCCCTTCTCCTTAGCAATGACTTGTTTGGAAATTAGACCACCTTATGTATCTATTGTGCCATATGTTTCTGTGTTCTTCTGTGTTTGCAGACTATGCTTGCTAGTCAGATCAGTAGTCGCACCTTATTCTCCAACTTGTAACAATTGCTATTTCTTATGTTAAATTTTGGACATTTAACATAATGCCCTTGTGAGCAATGATACTTTCTCTCTCACACCTTTCAAGAATTACTTGTTCATGGGCTTCATTCTTAGAGTGATGGTCTGTGGAATGGATATAATTGAGTCCTATCCTTAGGACTCAATGAGGATTGTCTTACCTAATGTCTTTTTATGACATCCTATCAATGCTTAACATACTATTTGTAGGGGTGGTAACGGGTCATGTCAGGTCTGGCAGGGCCCGGACCCGAAAAATGATATGGGACCTGTACCGAAAATATAGTGTGGGACCTGGACCCGATCAGACCCTATCCAAAAATAAAAAATTTCTATGTATTTAACAATATTTGAATGTATTTCATATATTGGGACCAAAAAAATATTACTGGACCTGGACCCGAACACTGTTCAGGTCCAAGATTTGGACCTGGACCCGACCTGCCGGGTCCAATTTTTGGAGCCATACCTGGACCCAGATCGGGTCTACCCCTCGGTTACCGGGTCAGGTCCAGGTCCATTGCCACTTCTAACTATTTGGGGTCAATTACCAAAAAGAGTTGCTATTGTGGGCTTTTGCCTCTATGACAACCCTTGTATTTTTACACTAGTGATGGAGGCTGCAGGCTAAAGCCCTTGGAAAGATTATTTACATCATCTATGAAGGACCTGGATCTTGTGTCTAGCTATGGTAAATCTGTAGTCCTTTGTATTTTGGACAAGTCGCTGACGGTGGTCGCTCTTCTCTCGTGGACTCCAAGTGTTCCATATTTTCTTTTTTCGATGAAGTAAGCCCAAATGTTCTACTTTGATTTAGCATGTCCACGTAATTTCTTACTTCGTATTTGCAAGTATGTATAGTTGCTGAAATTTCTTTAGAAATAATGTAATGTCTGTTTAGGTATGCTTTGTATGTGCAAGTGCATATAGTTGCTGAAAGTTCTTTAGAAATATTATAATGTCTGTTTAGGTAGGAGGAAAACTGAAATTATGGATTTTCAGATCCCAAATAGTGGGGAAAAGACTCTAATGATGATGATGATTTTGAAAAAGGACACAGTTTCTATGCGGCCAGCCTGCATATTGTAGAAATACGGGCTTGGCAATAAATATATTTTTTAAATATAATTCGATCCTAATTTTTAGAGAATATATAATCTTTAAACTGGAGATCATGAATATGCAATTTTTTTTTGAAAACTAGAAATAATAATTATATTAAGAAAATATTTGGACCGTTAGTCACACGTGTTTTTAGATGGACCACCTATTTGCATCCATCTTTAAGATGGATGCTTTATACCTTTGGACTACATATTGTAGAAATGTGGTCCAGCCCGCATGAAACAATTTTCCTTTTGAAAATAAACAATTCTTCACTTGGGTTTCCGTTTTCTCTGATGTCATGATGATGATGATTTTGAAAATAATTATTGAAAATCAAGGTCGAGATGATTGGTTTGAGGGTTTTTTGAACTGCAATTGTTTGGTAAGATTTGACATACATCTTTACTCTTTTTTTTAATCAATTTTTTGTTTTAAAAGCCTTGGCCCTATTTTGATTGTTTCCATAAAAATAAAAAATGAAGTATATATACTCGGGTGCTTTGATATGAAGTGATTATTTCATCTCTTAAATTTAAATAAAAAGGAAAGAAATGCCACCAATCAAATGTCTGCGTTTTTATGCATTAATGAGACACCCATGTGGGAAAGGCCTTGGGGTCATGGTGGTACACCCCCACACCTTAGTTACCACATTATGGTTTCTATTCCCACCAACACCACCCCATTAACACTTTAAAAAAACTAATTCTTTAACATGTGGTTTCAAAAGAGGAACATGATTCATGTAGCCAACCACAAATAATTGTAATAAGGTTTGGACGATGATGGTGATTCTATTTTTTTTTAACATGTGGTTTCCTGTTATCCATTGTCATGGTGCTTGTAATGTACTTTATGTTAGGTGTATATTGTCTATAGTGCATTGTTTGAAAACCGCCTGATCTAACCGGTAACCACTCGATTAGATCGGAACCTGCCTTTTGCCGATTCCGGTTTCGGGTGGTTTTGGTGAACGGCCGGTATTTTAAAAATAAAAATTCAAAAAAATGTCTATAAAATCCCAAAAATAAGGAATTTGATTTGTAATACATTTTTTTTTTAATATTTTTTACATTAAAGTAAATATTAAAAATTATTTTGGTCATTCATACTTACTTTTAAAATCCATTTTTTCATTAATTTTTAACTTCATTTGAATGTGTTTTGTTTTAATCATTCTTTATATGCTTTTTATATTTTAGTAGATTTTTTTTTGCATCTTTTTTATTTTTTTCAACAATTTTTTAGCCGTCCGGGACTTGCCCGGTTAGAACAGTTGAATCGATCGGTTAGGCCGGTCAAACTACTTTTGGCCCCATGTCCGGTTAACCTTCCAATTCGATTTTGCGAACACTGCTATAGTGTTAATTATAGAAGGTGTATATTATAAGGGTTTGTCTACAAAGAGATCATTTATCTTTGTACATGGAGGTTACAATCATTTCTACTCATTAGATGTCAAATTGGATGGCTTGTGGTTGAGTTACGAAGTTAGAGAATTTTTTTTTTTGGAGCTTTGTGTGTTTTCAGTGACACGCTTACAACTTTTTTTTGGAACTTTGTGTGTATTCAATAACACTCTTACAACTACCCATTTTGATATTTAAAGGACAAGAATGATTATGACCTCCATGTACAAAAGATAAATGAATATTTTGTAGACAATCTCATGTTATACGCAATATATATGGGAAAGATAGGTGCAGCAAATATAGTAAGTCCAAATATAGTTTAGGTATCTATAATTTATTTCTATTCTCGTTATCTCTTATTTGTCTATATAAGATAAGTTTGTTTATTCATATAGATTAATGGATATTGAGATTCTCTTCAGAAAAACC